GAATTTTGGAATTCTGAAATTTTGGAACTTCCAATTCTAGGACTTGGAATTTTGGAATTCTAGAACTTGGAATTCTGAAATTCTGGAACTTGGAATTCTGAAATTTTGGAATTCTGGAATTTGGAATTCTGGAACTTGGAATTCTGAATTTTTGGAATTCTGGAATTCTAGAGTTCTGGAATTTGGAATTCTGCAATTTTGGAATTCTAGGACTTTGAATTCTGGAGTTCTGGAACTTGGAATTCTAGAATTCTAAAATTCTGGGATTTGAAATTTGGAAATTCTGGAACTTGGAATTCTGAAATTTTGGGATTCTGGAATTTTGGAGTTCTGGAATTTGGAATTCTGAAATTCTGGAACTTGGAATTCTGAAATTTTGGAATTCTGGAATTCTGGAGTTCTGGAATTTGGAATTCTGTAATTTTGGAATTCTGGAACTTGGAATTCTGAAATTCTGGAACTTGGAATTCTGAAATTTTGGAATTCTGGAATTCTGGAGTTCTGGAATTTGGAATTCGGAATTCTGTAATTTTGGAATTCTGGAATTTGGAATTCTGAAATTCTGGAACTGGGAATTTTGGAATTCTGGAGTTCTGGAACTTGGAATTCTAGAATTCTAAAATTCTGGAACTTGAAATTTTGAAATTCTAGAACTTGGAATTCTGGAATTCTTGAATTTTCAAATTTTGAAACTTGGAATTTTTTAATTTTTAAATTCTGGAATTCTTTTTCCATTTTGAAACCCTGCAATTTTGTAAATTTTGCGATTTTAGAATTATGATAATTTGCAGATTTTAATATTTCGAAAGATTGAATCTATTAAATTTTGTAAAAAAATACAATGAATGTAATTATCTATTCACTTAGGAACTTTTCTAGCTATGTACATAACTTGACTAATAACATCTCCAGCATTTTCGTAGCAACTCATCAGACAATTTGTCTACTAGCTTATATAGCAATTTATGTAGAAATTTACCTAGCAAGTCTAGAAACTTGCTTCACAACTTACTTCATCTAAACACGTCTTTTTATGAGTGTATCAGATGTGACCGCTTCGTTGCTCTTACATTCATGACAAACTGTACTTTATCTACTCCACTATGAGCAATCACTCTGATGCTTCCAAGTAACATCTTTCCATCTGTGCACGATACATTTTCAAAACTATATTTATAATATAAGTATAAGTACTTCAACACATAAATCCTTTCTTGTTAATATTTCATCTGTAAAACATTTCAATTCTGCAACTTTGTAACACCGAATCAAACCTCTGCGCGATCCGCCAATTACGCGCCATAACTTACCGAAAACCGGGACTTGAACCGCGTACTCGACATCAAAGCACCCAATTACCAAGGTTGTTTCTCAATCCCTCTGATCGCAAAAAGCGTCGAAGAAAGGCAAACTCTGTCATAAAAAAGAAGTATCATCGAACAGATCCATCAGCATTGTACTCGAAAAGCTGAAGATGCACGCGATCGACCATTCTCATCGAGTCGTGGAAAAATGACGTGGTTAACGGTAACGCGAGGCACGGAAAAACGAAAACGTTCGAGACGGGGTGACGAACGAATTAGAAATTACAATTACAGTCGACTGGTTCATAACACGCGCCATAGCCAGACCGTGAGAAAATTGTCGTTCATGCGAATTTTTGCTGGAGATCCGTAGATCGTGACTGTCTTGACTGATCGGACCTCGTTTTCGGTTCGTTAGCGGATTAATCGTAGCTGGAATTAATTCCGACCTGTTGCAACTTTTTGCTACGGTTGTTGGCATTTTTATTCGCTCCCTGGTGATCCGGCGCTTATGAGTTAGGGGAGTATGAGGAAATTCTGGTTGGTTTTATAAAGTGTAATGTTTGAAATTTTGCTGTCTTTATTTTATGATTCATATGAATTGTTAGTGCAGATTTAATTTCAGAAAATTTTGCGAAAATATTTCTTGGTATACTTTTTTGCTACTAGTACGTGAAGGATTAATTAATAATTCTTCTTTGAATTTTTAGTAATTCATATTTTTAGATTTTTAAGTTTGCAGATGTTGAAACTTACGATTTTCCAAATTTTGAGATTCTTAAATGATTTTGCAAGTTTATCGATTTTGGAATATGGTAATTTTCATATCTCCTAATTTCAAAATCCGCAAATCTCAAAATTCTCTAAAACTTAAGTTTTTAAATCCCTAGATCTCCAATTCCACAAATCCTTGAGTTCCCAAATTTCCAAATCCCTAGATTCCACAAATCTTCGAATCTCCAAATTCCAAAATTCCCTAGTTCCAAAATCTCCTAGTCCCCAAATTCCCTAGTATCAAAATTCGCTAGTTCCAAAATTCAGAAGTTCCAAAATTCCTAAGACCCAAAATCCCCTAGTCCCAAAATTCCAAAGTTCCAAAATTCCCTAGTCCCAAAATTCCAGTTCCAAAATTCCCTAGTTCCGAAATTTCCTAATTCCAAAATTCCCTAGTCCCAAAATTCCGAAGTTCCAAAATTCCCTAGTCTCAAAATTTCCTAATTCCAAAATTTCCTAGTCCCAAAATTCCCTAATTCCAAAATTCCCTAGTCCCAAATTTCACAAATTCCAAAATTCCCTAGTTCAAAAAATCTCTAGTCCTAACATTCACTAGTTCCAAAATTCCCTAGTCCCAAAATTCCCAAAACTCCAAAATTCCCTAGTTTAAAAATTCCGCAGCCCCCAAATTTCCAAATCTATACATTCCCAAGTCTCCAATTCCAAAGTCCCCAAATTCCCAAAATCCCAATTAACCAAATCCACACATTTCCAAATTCCCAAATCACCAAATAAAAAATTTCCAATTCGCAAATCACCAAATTAAAAATTTCCAATTCCCAAATCACGAAATTTAAAATTTCCAATTCCCAAATTACCAAATTAAAAATTTGCAATTCCCAAAATTCCCAAATTTCCACCTCCTAAATTACAAATCTTTATAAACGCACTAGTCCCCATTTTGCCTTAAATCCCAAAGAATGCGACTTTACCGGAAGTATCCAAAAGCGTGTGTAAATCCGTTCTCCTTTACCGCGCGAAAGGACGTACCGTAAAAATGTGCACGCGTACGCATTGCTGCCAACGGCGCAAAGGAAGAAGAAAGACCGACAGAAGCCTACGAAAGTCAAAGAAGAGGATCAACTTCGTTTCGCTTCCTGTTCGTTGGCCATTGTCGGTAGCGGTTTTCGGCACGCATCCGCTCGCGGAGAAAGCGTATCGCTTCGGGCCGATGCGCCTTCTGTCGAGGCCGCTTCCGCCAGCGAACGTGTGGTTTCCGGTGCGTGGCGCACGTATGTACGTTATCGACCGCGATACCAACTCGCCGTGTTCCTCTATCGATACTCAGTTGGAATTGGACTGTTGCTCGTGTCGGTTGTGTTTCTACTACGATCCCGCTTTTTTTCTTTGTTATTACATTCTTCTTATATCTTGTACTTTATAGTCTTATAACTTATCTTATATCTTAGAGTTTAATTGTTCGATGTAATAACTTTGGTACCAAGGATTTTTACCGGGTTTGGATATTTTATTTTTTTAGTTCGGTGGTAATGCGTTTGGTACCAATTTGTGAACTTAATGGTGATTGGTGGTTTGATAGTTTATAAATTTTGAAGTTTGACAATCTTCGGGTCTGTCAGAATTGATAGACGTTCTGACATATCCCCAGATTTCTGAATTCCTAGATCCCTAGATTTCTATCTCTTTAGACCTTGATATCCTTACATCATCAGATCTTGACATACCTTGATTCCTATATCCCTACATCCTTAAATCTCTACTTCACACAAATTAGTACAAAGTGAATAAGCCCTCTTCCTGCTTTATATAATAAAAAATCACAAAATTTCAATTTAACAAAAGATTCAGTGAACAAGTGATAGTTCGAATTCGTGATTTGTCAAAAATTAACAAAGTGTCGCAGTAAAATTTTCTATGAATCACCGAAAATGGCGGCATTTCCAGTGACCGCCTGGGAATATCCTAGACGTGGCCTGGGAATATCCTGGCAGTGTTCCCGCATTCCAGATCGACGAGTCGAAGTTATGAAATACCGAAGTGGAAACGCTCGAGCTGCCACGAGAGGTGGTTTTGCATTTCAGTTTCTCGATCGAATTCCATCTTATGTCTTGCTCCGTCCAATCGCGCGCACCTCCTTCGCCTATCTTTTGTTTCGCTCGAAGAACCACGATACGCGCCGACGAAAAGTACATTTTCTTTTCATAATTCGGTCCCTTCGGGTTTACGGTGAAAGTCGGTGCTTTAATTGTATATTTCCGGGGAAATTGCGTAATTTGATTTAAACGATGCCTTCTGAACCGATTGACCTGGGTTCCTTTCGGTTCTTGGAATTAGACCGTGGATCTCCTTGAAACGAAACTCCTTTCTTTTTTCGTGGTTCCATTCGAGATTTTCGAGATACCATGACGCTGCTGTTTGAGGAAAGATTGAGTCCTAATGAGATTCAAGGATTTTATATGCATTTATTTGTTGCTGGACTTTTGGCTGATATATTTACGGGATGAGGAAATAAGCGAATGATATTTTAGTTAGATTTTAATTTTATAGCTTTAAGGAAGTTTAATACGACTTTTCATGCTAATGAATTTAAATTTTATGCTGGAGAAATTATACTTTATTGAAATAAATACTGGGTACCTACATTTGTAATTAATTCATTAATACTGTCATCGCAGAACATAAGGTGTTATTAATGTTGTATTGATTAAACACAGGATACCTGATGCATCTGTAATTAATTAATTAATTTATAACTGTAATCGTAGAACATACACTTATTTATGTTGTACTGATTAAATATAAGATACCTGATTAATTTGTAATTGTGTTGACGAAACATGGTTCTTACCTCTCACATTCAATTTTAATTTTCTTCTCTTAAGAAGCTATTACTCAAAAATAAATAAAACAGAAAAATTCATCAAAGAATTAATTTGAACGTTTTAAATTTTGTTGTTGCAGCACCCAGATCATCCAGTGCAGGCACAAACAATCTCCCACCATTAACATTTCACCAGGTTCATGGTGAAAATATCAGACTTTGCAATGGCGGGACCATCGCCAGAAGATACGAGAGCTTCTGCAGGGGTATCACGTTCAGTGCCAGGCCTGTACGAGTCGGTGAAAAGGTAAATTAATTAATTAACACGTTCGCTATTAAACACTCGTTTGACACCTTCATGCTGTACCTGTTACATCTTAAATCCCTAGATTTCCAAATTTTGAGATTCGAATATTTAGACTTGCAAATATCTAGACTTTCAAATCCCTAGATTTTGAAATTTCTAGACAGAAATCCCTACAATTAAAAATCACTAGATCCCAAATTCCCTAGATTCACAAATCATTCGATTAAAAAGTTCCTAGATAAAAATCCTTTATTCGTAATTCCATAAATTCCCTAGAGTTCCAAATTCTTAACTCTCGAGATTTCCAAGTTTCTAGATTTAAAAATCCCTAGATTCGTGATTTCCTAGATTCCCAAATTCCAAGTTTCTCAAATCTCTAGATTCCCAAATTTCAAGGTTTTCAAATCCCTAGATACCCAAATTCCAAGATACTCAAATCTCTACATTCCCAAATTCCAAGTTTCTCAAATCCCTACATTCCCAAATTCCAAGTTTCTCAAATCCCTACATTCCCAAATTTCAAGTTTCTCAAATCTCTAGATTCTCAAATCCCCAGATTCCCTAATCTCTACATTTAAAAATACCTAGATTGAAATTCCCTAGAATCCCAAATTCCAAGTTTTTCAAATTCCTAAACCCCGAAATTCCTAGATTTCCAAATCCCCATATCTCTATGTTAGATATCTATATGATACGACTTATCCCTAGATCCTTAAATCCCTATATCCCCATATCGTCAGTTCTTCAGATTCGCATATCCACAACTTCTAAAATCCCCAATATCAGGGAATTCTATATTCATCTCCAGACATTCGAGCACTCAAAAATTCCTATAAGCGAATGGGATGTCTGGTACGTCGTCTGTTGCGATAGTTTCCCTAGGGAAGGCTGTTTACCGTAGAAAGGAGAGCAACACGAACACGCATTCTGTTCGTTGTAAATATGGACGATTCCCGTGCTTGATGATTGGAGAACGCTAAACCGTCTGCCCACGTGAAATAGCTGGGCCTCTTCAGGGTCGTTGGAGAACCCGGCTAGAGAGCTCGATAGACGCGGAAAATGCAAATGACGATCCGTCAAGCGGAACAACAGTCACCCGATTCTCACAATTAACCGCCGTTCTGCCGTATACGATTTACGGGTCGACGAGGAAAACACTCGACGGGAAAACGGGGCTTTTTTCCTACGCTTCGAACGGGAAAGAAAAAATACGATTAATTATCTTTCCGACGAGAACCTGTCGCGAATGCGCGCGTTTCCCTGAACGGTGTCTATGTGTGGCCATTTTGTTTGATTTGGAGATTGAACTCTTTTGTCGATATACTTGGGAAAATGGAAGAGTGCTTGTTATTTGTAATAGCCTTTGTAATGGAATTTTTGTTATAATGATTTGGAAAAAGAGTAAAACCAATCATTGAGTTTATGGATTTAATTTGTGGAGATTTAATTAGTATTTGATGAAGGTGCATTTTGTTTGAATTGTGATTTTTTGAGTTTCAATAGGTCGATGAGTTTTGAAAACCAGACAAGTTATTAAGGTTCTTTTTTTAATTCTTTTTTTTAAATACAATTTTGCAGTGTAATTTTTATTACATATAATTAATGATATTTGAAATGTTTGAAATACAATGATAAATTAATTCATAAGGTTTAAAGCGTAGGATTCACGAGGTCGTTAACGGAGTAAAATCTTGAAGAATTAGTCAATTTATTTCGTATAAACTTCAGCTAACAAACTTCAGATAACACACTCATTTAATACTCGTTTATCGATCACGGCTGAATATAAATTGGTAATACTCAGTCTCTTAATAAATTTCACTCGAGATTCGAAAGTTGCGTAGGTGTTGATAATTATGACTTCAAAACATACATCCGTTCTTTTCTCTATAAAGCGACGATTCGTAGATATTTTAAGGCTTTGATTGTAAGTTTGTAAGTCGTTAAGAACGTTTGTGCGAAAATTTACAAATTATTCAATTTTTGTATAAATTTACAGAATAACTCAGAAAATTTCTTCGTGAATTTTAAGAAACAATTCGAGAAAGTTTTATGTGAACTTTAAGAAATAATTCAAGAAATTTTTATGTGAACTTTGCAAAGAATTGAAGAAATTTTTGTGTGAATTTTGCAAATAACTCAAAAAATTTTTATTCGAACTTTGCAAAGAATTCAAAAAATTTCTTTGTGAACTTTAAGAAATAATTCGAAAAATTTTCACGTGAACTTTGCAAATAATTCAAGCAATAAATAATTTGCAAATAATTCCACAAAATTTCTGTACAAATTTACGAATAATATTCTGGTGAACATTTACAAATAATCCAAGAAATTCCCGTAATTAACAGATAATCAGATTCGTAAATTTACAAATAATCCTTGCACGAGTTAATAAATAATTAAATTTTCTATCTTTGATTCTTTAAGGAGATATTCAGGATAAGAATACAGGTAAAAGAAGTCGGGATTTCGTAATCGTTCCTCCCGTTAACTATCGTCTTTGAGATTTTTGTCACGTTCAATTTCGTGACGTAACGTGGCCGAACTTGGTAGCGAACTCGGTTTTTCAGTACTCATTGAATCGACTAAATATCGCGATTAATCCTTCGTTATTTATTTTACAATCTCTTCTACAATGTTCAATAGTCAAGGTCACAATAACAAAACCCATAATATTCATCATTTCTTTGTCATATTTTATTCTTTGTTAAATTTCTGATTCAATCAACATGAAAATTCTACAAATTCTGACTCACAAAGTTGTATTCAAAATTTGTGTTTAACTTGTAAAAATTTTCATTTTAATTTTTATTTATTTGTTTCATACTTTATCTTATTATAAATACATCACATTTCTAATACATAAATAAATTTATAATAAATAGATTTGTTAAAGATTTTTAAGTTTAACAATGTTCTTTATGAAAGATTGTTAATTTGTGACACAAGTAGATTATAGAAATTGTTAAACTTTATTTTTGAAATAAACAAAAATGTAAAATTGTAGAGACATTTTTTTTATATGTGTTGTTAATGAATATTGACAGTTTCATGTAGTTTAGTTTCCTCGATCGCCAGCTCATATAATATTCAAAAGGATTGCAAATTGCTGTTACTTAATCGCGTTTTGTTCGGAGAGTGTAGCATAGACTCTGACAAGGTTAAACAGGAGAAAATGTGTATTGAGTGTTTTGCAACACCTGTGACAAAGGTAACAAATTTATTCTCAAGTCGACAGTAAAGAACGATGTTTCTCACAGAAATCGACATAAAAAATCAATTGAAATGCTGACAAAAAATAGGTGTTGATAAAATCATATAAATAAATCATCAGTAGCAAAAAATGATATTAGTACCAAATAGAATTAATTGAAATGTAAAGAATCAAAAAGCAACATAAAATTTAACTATTGATAATAAATAAACACCTTGACAAAATCATATTGAATTGAATTAGTAATAATGAAGAACTTTAAATACATTTTTAAAGAAAGTACAATAAATTTAAAATCCATGTCATCGGAATCCCAAGAACTTATGGTTTCCGATACTCAGGTAGTTATGGCCTACTAAAATAATTCCGATGGTCAATTAATTTGTGGGTCACAAACCTTTTTATGAAAGAGATAATACAGTGTTTTGGGTCCTTTATGAACTCTTTAATAGACTGTCAAGTTTTGAATTAATATTCATTTTTAACTCTTAATTGTTCATTTGTTTAATTAATTCGAAAGGTACAGGAATTAAACAATTTTAGGGTAGTTCAAAAATTTTGAGATCTCAAGGTTACAGTGTGAAGTCCCAAAATATCAAAGATTGGAAGTTGCAAGGCACAAAGATATAAAAATTCCTAAATTGTCAAGTCCAGAAATGCTAACCTAATCTAACATCCTAGGACATCCTGAAAGTCTTGAGTCGCAAAGTTTCCAAATTGCTAGGCCTCAAAATACCAAAATTATAATGTCTCAAAATCCCAAAATTACATGATCCTTAGATGCTAACATCAAGGTTGCCATATTGCCAAGATTACAAGTTCCCCAACTTCCACAATTTGCAAAGTTCCAAAACTCTTAAGTTCCAATCTCCCAAAATTGCCATCACCTCAGGAATGTAAGGTCCAAAAATTCCAAGACCCTCAAAGTTTCTAGGTCCCAAAGTCTCAACATTGCAGTGTCCCAAACTCCCAAAAGTCCCAAAAGTGCAAGGTTCCAAACTCCAGAAAATCTATGCACCCAAGATCTCCCAAAGTCCCAAAGCTTTGAGGTCCCAAAGTCACAAAATTGCAATGTCCCAAACTCCCAAAAGTCCCAAAGGTGCAAGGTTCCAAACTCCAGAAAATCCATGCACCCAAGATGCCCCAAAGTCCCAAAGTTCCAAAGCTTGCAGATCCCAAAGTCACAAAATTGCAATGTCCAAACTCCCAAAAGTCCCAAAGATGCAAGATCCCAAACTCCCAAAAATCCCAAAGGTGCAAGATCCCAAATTCCAAAAAATCCATGCACTCAAGATCCCCCAAAGTCCCAAAGTTCCAAAGCTTGCAGATCCCAAAGTCACAAAATTGCAATGTTCAAACTCCCAAAAGTCCCAAAGGTGCAAGGTCCCAAACTCTCAAAAAGTCCCAAAGATGCAAGATCAAAACCTAGAAAATCCATGCACCCAAGATCCCACACTCACCTCCTTATCCCACTCATCCCCAGAATTCCAAAATGTCCTCCCAAAGCCTCGAAATTAAGTCCACAAATCACCCACCAGTCCAAAAGCACACACACAATTCGAATCACATACCAAAAGCAACGAAACTAACAAACCTCTTCAACATCGTTTCAGGTATGCGTCAAGTTCCTCGAGATCTCCAACAACTGGAGCGGCGTGATACGCTTCGGTTTCACCAGCAACGACCCGATCAACCTCCGCAACGGTTTGCCAAGGTATGCCTGTCCGGATCTGACGAATAAACCCGGTTACTGGGCGAAGGCCATGGCCGAGAGACTCGCCGAAAGGGACACGGTGCTCTTCTACTATGTCACCTCGGCGGGCGACGTTCATTTCGGTGTGAACGGCGAGGAAAAAGGCGTATTCTTCAGCGGCGTCGAAACCCGTGGCCCTTTGTGGGCTATCATCGACGTGTACGGTAACAGCACCGCGATCGAGTTCGTCGATCCCAACAGGCAACACTTCAACAACATCAGGAGAGGCGCCGAGCATAGCAACGAGGACAATGCACAACACAGCAGGCACTCGGCCATGGACGATGCGAGCAACGCGAGCAGGGACGTCGAAAGGATCATCGTTCCGTCCATGCAGAGCATGTCGATCCATCATGAGCCTGACGTAGAGCTGCCTGGACTCAGGTTTCAGCCTGCCGGTGTCATCTTCACGCCGTTACCCTTTCATCCGTGAGTGTCCGGATTGATCTTTTGTCTCGTAATCCTTCGATGTAGACTGCAGTGTACTGTGCTTTCAAAATTACCGGACATGGCGTTTTCACTTTAAAGTTTATGTTAGGTTAATTATGTAGGTATCCTACATTTAGGTAGGATACATCAAGGTTGATTTCATTTAGGTGTGAGCTATCTTTGGTTCATTTAGATAGAATACATCAAGGTTGATTTCATTTAAATGTGAGCTATCTTTGGTTCATTTAGGATATATCTAAGTAGGATTCATTTTACTGGGTCCATTTAGGGACCTAGTAGGTTGGGTTTAATATAAGTTAGATACATTTGGGTTAAGAGTTTTTGAATAGTTTTAGTTGGTTCCACATTACATCCATATGATTTGGATTCGTCCAGATTTAATTCATTTAGGATAAGATCATTTGGGACTATCTAGATTAGGACCATGTAGGCATGGTCCATCTAGGTGAGTCTATGTTTGCATCTACTTAGAGGTCATCTTGTTTGGGTTCCTTTAGGTGGAGATTGGATCTATCAAGATTTGGTTGCGTCGAGATTGGACCTAGTAGGATTAGATCCATCAAGGTTAAGTTCATCAAGATTTGCATCTAGGTTGGAAATTTAACAAGATTTGAAAATTTGGAAACTATCAAAATCTGAAGACTTGGAAATCTGAAAAATATTAAGGACCTGAAGATTTCAAAATTTATGAAGAATTTGGATTTGTGACCGTTTGTGTTGGGTTAGGTTAGTTGCATAGGGCGACTAAGTTCCTAGATATCATCTTAAGTCTATTTAGGTTCTTTTGACACTTCTACGTTCTCAAATTCTTCTCATGTTCATCATAATTTCTCTCTAGATTCTTCAGAAATTCTTCATAAATACTGTACTTCCCCTGAGTCTGTTTCCCTAAAATCAATTAGTCATACATTTTTTTATTAACTTTGTATCTTGAGGAAAAAGATGGATATCCGTAACATGATGCGTCAATATCCAATGACTCAGTGTTAACAAAAAAATTCGATAAAATGTCAATGTATGCATAAGCGTCGTCATTTTTCCTCCTTCGATAAATATCCATTAAGAGTTTACTTATCAAACAAAAAGTCCGTAATATTTCAAACAAAAGTTTGGAAGAAGTTCTGTATTTCTGTGTATTGTATCGAAAACCTTTCTTTATTCGCATCATAGAAAGTATGTTTGTTCAGAGAATGTACAGTATTGAAATGGAAGGTCTTGCTATCGATTCGTTTGTTGCCACGGTGTACAGTTAGGATCGTCTTCCGGTGGTATTTGTTCCCTAACTCGTGTCGATTTCCATCACGCGTCAAGTTCGTTCTGTGTGGCCTTGCTGGGATTGAATACTAATGAGGTTGCTTTAGTCTGTTCGCCATATCTCAAGTCGAAATCATCCACAATTCGCCTCTTATTTGTACAACCAATTGTTCCATTTCGCGTGCATTTCAATTATCAAATCAACACTACAATCTTAGATCATATTTTTAATTCACATATCAGTTAATATTCTCAGACCCAGTCATGTAATATTACACACGTTACAGTTTGCTTCCTGTTAGAAAGCATATTTTAATATTTACAGTTTTTAATCATATAATACGTCCAGACCCAACCACGTAATATTACACATATCAGAGCTTGCTTTAATCAGTTCCCGGTACAATTTAGTAACAGTACCTTTTTCTTGCATGTTGCAGGACTCGAGGCCGGAACATCCGCTTCAGCAATCAGCAGTGCGTGGCAACTCGGACGGACACGGAATTCTGTCACGGTTACGCGTTCACGAGTAGACCATTGCTGCTGGGCGAACGTTTGGTGGTTCAAATCTTGGCTACGGAGCCAATGTACGTGGGCGCCCTCGCCCTGGGTCTGACATCCTGCGACCCAGCACGACTGACCGCCGAGGACCTGCCAGATGACAGCGACCTCCTTCTGGACCGACCTGAATACTGGGTAGTCTCGAAAGACGTGGCTTCCAGCCCTCAACCCGGCGACGAGATAGCCTTCACGGTGACGCACTTCGGTGAAGTTCAAATGAGCAAAAACGGCGGACCACCCAGCGTGGCGATGCACGTGGACCAAAGTCTTCAGTTGTGGGCGTTCTTCGACGTGTACGGTAGCACGCAGCGTGTGAGGATGCTGGCGGAGAGGCCTACGTCGCCGCCCAGACAACGGCAGAGCAACCCGTCGCCGGTGACCATGCTGCAGCAGAAGCAACAACAGAAGCAGCAGCAACAGCACTCGAATCATAGCAACGCGGCCACGGAGTTATCCAGATTCTCGGAGGTGGTGCAGTTCAAGCCTGCCGTAGGCGGCGGCACGGTGCTCGTGGTGAACCTGCCTCCACAGACAGGCTACGTACCACCCTCTGCGTCCACACCTCAGCCCACGTACGCCTCCTCGGGTGTGCACAGGAACTCGCACGTCCACATGCCAGCGGCAGCTGCAGCAGCTTCCACGTCGCACCCCAGTTCGTCCAGGCAATCCTCGCCACCATTGACCGGCACTATGGCCAGCACGGGATCCTCCACGTACGTCGAGCCTGTCAACTACCAGAGTCTGGATGGCACCCTCACGTCCCAGGCTTCGTCTCACCTGCAGCAGTGGAGCGAGGGACTGCAACCCACACCCGGGCAACCCAACGAGTGCTCCGTCTGCTACGAGAGGAGCATCGACAGCGTGCTGTACATGTGCGGCCACATGTGCATGTGCTACTCATGCGCCATACAACAGTGGTGCGGCAAAGGTGGCGGCCATTGTCCTCTCTGTCGGGCCACCATCAGAGACGTGATCCGCATCTACAGATCCTGAACAACGGCGCAGGGACTCCACGGAAGGAACAGTTTCATGGGCTGATTCATCTCCCGACTACTTCGTTTTGACTCGTCCTCTAGACAAGCGTGCAGCACTGCCTTTTGTAGCACGGTGTCCATATATATGCCTCTTGGTGTTCTCGTTTTATGGATGAAATCCGTACGCCCAGGGTGTACGGTGGTATTACACTGCCGATTTTTGGCCAACGGGCCCGTCGATGGGAAAGGCACCTCTTCCGGTACCGGACACGTACCAACATTTCTCAGGATACTCCATCGACACGAAGAGGTAACCAGGGAACACTCAGTGCGAGACGAGAACACGAGGTGCGCTTCTGTGAAGGATCCTGGAGGATCCTTTGTTAGTCGGTGTGAGGTTCGCACAGTGGCGTTTAGCGAAACTGTAGCTCTGACGAGTAACTAGGAACGTGTACGTGTGTGCGCCTTCAAGATCGACGAAGAACAAACAAGGAACGAGTGATCGTATGAAAGAGAGACTATGCGCGAATGCTTGATGAAGAAAGCGTGCTACGTACCACCCTCTGCGTCCACACCTCAGCCCACGTACGCCTCCTCGGGTGTGCACAGGAACTCGCACGTCCACATGCCAGCGGCAGCTGCAGCAGCTTCCACGTCGCACCCCAGTTCGTCCAGGCAATCCTCGCCACCATTGACCGGCACTATGGCCAGCACGGGATCCTCCACGTACGTCGAGCCTGTCAACTACCAGAGTCTGGATGGCACCCTCACGTCCCAGGCTTCGTCTCACCTGCAGCAGTGGAGCGAGGGACTGCAACCCACACCCGGGCAACCCAACGAGTGCTCCGTCTGCTACGAGAGGAGCATCGACAGCGTGCTGTACATGTGCGGCCACATGTGCATGTGCTACTCATGCGCCATACAACAGTGGTGCGGCAAAGGTGGCGGCCATTGTCCTCTCTGTCGGGCCACCATCAGAGACGTGATCCGCATCTACAGATCCTGAACAACGGCGCAGGGACTCCACGGAAGGAACAGTTTCATGGGCTGATTCATCTCCCGACTACTTCGTTTTGACTCGTCCTCTAGACAAGCGTGCAGCACTGCCTTTTGTAGCACGGTGTCCATATATATGCCTCTTGGTGTTCTCGTTTTATGGATGAAATCCGTACGCCCAGGGTGTACGGTGGTATTACACTGCCGATTTTTGGCCAACGGGCCCGTCGATGGGAAAGGCACCTCTTCCGGTACCGGACACGTACCAACATTTCTCAGGATACTCCATCGACACGAAGAGGTAACCAGGGAACACTCAGTGCGAGACGAGAACACGAGGTGCGCTTCTGTGAAGGATCCTGGAGGATCCTTTGTTAGTCGGTGTGAGGTTCGCACAGTGGCGTTTAGCGAAACTGTAGCTCTGACGAGTAACTAGGAACGTGTACGTGTGTGCGCCTTCAAGATCGACGAAGAACAAACAAGGAACGAGTGATCGTATGAAAGAGAGACTATGCGCGAATGCTTGATGAAGAAAGCGTGAACGATTGGGAGAGTGATGTTGATCTTTAGGTATTTTCACAATCGACATTAAATATTATCGCTCTACCATCGCCAATTAACTATTACCGTTACTATTATCATCACTTACCGCTGCTACTATTCCCAGCCTTTAGTTTATTACTACGATTATTTTTAATTAGTGATACTATTTGTTTATCCTTCTTAACGAGGGTAGCTTATTTTTTATCGCTCCAGATACACACATCTACACATACACATACACACAAACACACACACCATCGTCTCTTGACGCGTTTTGGAGTGTTTTATATTTGAACACACGTGTGACTCTGTGAGTAGACTAGATTCTTCGTTTTCTTTTTTTCTTTAAAACCTTGACCCTTTGTTTTATCTTGCAATTTGCTCTCGCAGACGGAACACGACTCGTTTCTTACTTTTGACAATAACTTTGTAATGCTTGTCGTTCCACCGTGTGCGTATTATGATACAAGGTTAAAAGCGGCCCGAGCGAAACTTGTCTATGTGTGTTGTATACCGACTACCTACAATTAATCGTACGTATTACCAAAGAAAATAGCGAAACCGTGTACTTCCTTCCCGCTCTGCGTACGTTCTCAAACGAGGTCACGCACTCCTCCACGCAGCCAAGCCTTAAAAGGACGATGGTTTTTTATACGTTTTAGGACTTAGCGTTACCGTTTTCTACCAAGTTCGCGCGTCCCGACTACACCGAGAAAAAAGAAATGAGAGAGAGAACAAAGATGCTCGCTGAATTAGCGATTGCAACGTGTTAGCCCTTTGACTACTTTATACCTTGAAGTACATTGCTTCCAAGTAGAGATTAAATACGCTGTAGCTTTTGGTGCGAACTCCTGATAGACGAAGGGTTAATTGTTGGAAAAATTGAAGAGTACAAACAAGGTTGTAAATATTAGCAACTTTGTTTATCAGAATATATGTATTACTGAATTTGGGGTCAAATTTGTTTATAGAGAATAACTGTGCTAATATTTTCATCTGTGTTAATGGATTTAGTGTGAACTGTTTTAAGAGCAGGAAATGGTATTTGGAAAAATTTGCATCCTCTGTTTGTACTCTGATTATTAAAGCTTGGTGCAAACTTGTGAGTGTAATTCGAAGATGAAATTTCATTTATATACTGAGTTGATTTTCTGCAAAAGTTTCTGTATTTGTGGCTTTCTATATTCAAAAGTAAATTGAAAAATTACTGAAAATTTCTAAATTTCTACACTGAATATGAGATGTTCCAGGTATCTCAAATTTTGTGAAAAATGAGGAGCATCCATATTGATGCTAACCTAGTTTCGCCACAGTATATCAATAATTTTGAATCGATCTTCGAATTACAATCTGCAAAATTCGAAGAAGAGGTCGACGTAGGTGTTGCACGTATTTTAACCGCAGACTCAGCGTCACATTCCTACCTGAAAGGACCGTATCGAAGAGTACAAGCAAAGTTACTATACCAGGTTGCGTAGTCGTCCCGACAGGGCGAAGTTCAGAGGTTTTTATCAGTGTTGACGACTAAAAAGTGGAATTATTTGAGGATCTCGATCGTCGAGGATCTGGTTCGGTCCATAAAAGTTCCAAAAAAAAGCTGTATCCTCGAAATACTGTAAGTAGGCTGTTGAAAGCTGAATTTCGACCTGGCTAGGTCCGCCATTACCCTCGACGCTCTCGATCCTCATTTTGTTATGAACTAAAAGCGATTTATGAATTTTTCAACACCTCGTACGACCGCTTCCGTCGATTCCGTAAATTCCGCGTTGCAATCCGTCCAGCGAGTGGAACACCGATCAAAATGACTGGCCGCGAAACGATCGCGACCGATCTCGTTCCACGGCCCGTCGAGATGACGAGGATTTATTTTCGTACAGCAACGAGACGACGCCGAACAGACGGCGACGTCTCTTTTTTCCTTCACCGGCCCCTCGACGGCCGTGCCTTAGAGACGTTTATCGGATCTCGTAGCGTCTTGTCGTGTTGTCGAGATGACACACGTTGCTCGCCGAGCTTTGCCGATCGATTGCAGATCGCTTTGGTCTCGTCAGAATTTATCATTCGTTTTCGTTGTAAACTGAACGGATTTGTCATTATGGACTCGCGTTATATTGCCATTTTTGTGGAGTAGAAATTTATTGATTTTATGAATTTTTTGAGGATGCATATTTGAGGGTGGACTGATTTTGAAAGGAATTGAGAGATTTTATAGACTTATTTTATTAGAAATATTGAAGTTTTCATGTTAGGAAATTTACTGAGCTCTGAATTTTAATATTTAATAATTTTGTAATTTGAAATTTGGAAAGTTGGACATTTTGAGTTTGTACGATTTGTAATTAAGCTGTAGAATTTATGTTTGTAATTTTTAAACGATTAAATCTTTCTAATTTATAAATTGTCAACTTTACAATATTTGTAGCTTTCAAACTATCAAATTTCTAATGTTTCTAATTTATAAACTAGTAAATTTCCAATGTTTCTAATTTACAAACTAGCAAATTTATATGTCCACTAGTTTCCAAATTTTCAAATTTACAAGCTTAATTTCATAAATTAATAAATAGAGAATTAACACCATTATTTTATAGAAACACAGATGCTCAAATATACAAGTTAACAAATCTTCATGCTTCCAATTTTGCATACTCTTCCTCGCATTATATTGCCGAAATCATTCAGCTTTATCTCACGCACACTAGATGGCGCTCTAAAGTCCAAGAAGCGTTTTTATCCAACTATAGTAACTATAGCAATATAACCTATAGCAGTCTTCGGCAATATAACGAGAGTCCATAATATTGCGTCTCAATTTTCAATCAAATTCAATTCGAGTAATCGCTAAGTTGCTAATTGATAAAAACCACACGGCAATCGTGTAAAAATTCTGTGAAAAAACTATTTATTAAAAACGAAAAATCGCATTATTCTTCGTTGAACCTAATTTTCCAAAACAAGCAAAAAATCCGGCGAAGCAAAATCGTCGAACAAGTTGCCTATGGAAGCAAATTGTTCATCAAACAAAAGGATGCTCGAAGCATTCGCTGGAGAGAGAAAAAGAGAAGGTGTAAGAATAGAGAGGAAAACGATGGAAATTGGAACGAAATCGTCCCAAAGTTGTACGAGAACATAGAAAGAAAGTTAAACGGGAACGAGAGAAGAAAATTCTGCTCTAACAACAGATACTCAATTTAAAAGAAAGCAGTAGTGAAATCTCTAGTCCAGCGAGAGGCAGCTTTAATTCGTCTGCCAATCCAAAAAAAAGAAATCATAGCGTTGATTAAGAGAGCGAGAGAGAGAGAGAGCCAGTCTTAGAGAAAGAAACACGAGTATGAAAGGGTATGTGTGTATGAGAGAGAGAGAGGAGAGATTTTATAAAAAAAAAACGAATACAAAATTTTAAGGAAAGAATTTGCTATAATTATTGCGCTATTGAGAATCTCTTTTTTTCTTCAGTTTTAGTGGAACATTCTGTTGACACTTTGATGGCCAAATTTTATCTTTACTCTACTCACAAGTTTATGGTTCTTTTTTTTTTTAAATAGGGTTTTTTGAAGAGTTTTAGGTTCGAATTTAGCTAAAGTGATAGTAGTAGAAATTTTAGGGAAACTTGGTATATTGCCGTTTTCGTATGGGCGAGGTTTAGGAATTTTAAAATTTAGGGACTAAATTTTGGATCGGGAATTTTGAAATTTTAGGAACTGCACATTTAAGAGTTTTAGTGGTTCAGAAATTTTAGAAATTTCAGATTTAGTGATTTACAAGTTTTCTGAGTCAGAAATTAAATATTTCAAATTTATAAGCTTTCTAGCTTTTGAAATTCAAAAATTCACAAATTTAGAAGGTAAAATTTACTAATTTTACTTTTCACAATTTTAAATTGTCAAATTTAGGAATTCTGAAATTTAGAAATTTCAAATTTCACAATTTATTAATTTTTGAATTTTTAAATTTTCTCATTCAGGAATTCTAACATTTAGAATTTTCAAATTTCACAATTTATTAATTTTCACATTTTTCAAATTCAGAATTCTGAAATTTAGAAATTTCAGTCTTAATAATTTCATTTTCAAATTTTTTAATTTTCTCATTCAAGAATTCTAACATTCAGAATTTAAAAATTTATTAATTTTCACATTTTTGAATTTTCAGATGTTATTCTGAAATTTAGAAATTTCAATTTTAATAATTTAATTTTTAAATTTTCTCATTCAAGAATTCTAACATTTAGAATTTTCAAATTTCACAATTTATTAATTTCCACATTTTTCAGATTCAATTTTCAAATTCAGAAATTTCAATCATAATTTAATTTTCAAATTTTTAAATTGTCAGATTTACAAACTTACTAATATTAGATCTAGCGATATAAAAACCGAGAAAGAGCGAGTAATAAAATTACAATTATCTCTATCTCAGATTATCAAAAGTTACTAATATACCCCCAAAAAAAGAACATAAACAATAATAAAAAAAGCAGAAATGACCATCAAAGTGTTAACTCAATCATAGAATTTCTAATTGAAAATCAGGCTTCGATTGATAGAGTGTTCAAATTTCGCCCGTTTTCGCGGGCAAACAATCACGAGCTTCCGTTGAAGAAAGAAGCTTAGAAACCCGAAAGAAGACATGTTTCATATTTTTTCTGTAGAACAGGTATCCTGGACGAATATTACATTGTGTCTTATCAGCATATAATCGATCGATGTTTATCTTTTTTTTATTTGAATTATTGTGAACATAGAAGAAAACTCGATTAAGTCTGGGATTTCCTTTTTCGATTTTGGAGATTTTAGTTCGAGAGACTTTAGTTTGAAACACTTTAGTTCTTTATTTTTATTATTACTTTTTATTCATATTCATATTCATATTCATATTATTATTATTATTAATATTATTATTATATATTGTCGTTTGTTCTTTGCATCGCTCGGCGTGATACGCACAAACGCTACGAGTATAATGCGTTGAGAAATGTGTATCGTTCTCTCATATCATCTAAATAATTATAAACGAATGTGCTCTGTCCGTTTACGTCGCGATTAAAAGGATAAAAAATGTCACCCTGTCCTACCCCGAGATTCGAAAGAAGATTCTATGTGCGATAAGAGTTCTCTGTAAGTGTAAAGATGCCGATTACGAATTTATACATATGTAATATAATTCGTGTAGCCGCGTGTTGTCCTACACAATAAAAAAGCCTGTAATATCTATGAACACTCGTGTCATTTTCTTCAACCTATTCCTTCAAACAATTTACTACATTTATACACGAAAATACATTTAACAATTATTGTCAAAAAAAATAAAGTTATTAAATTCGAAATCTACTAAGATTTTGGAAGCATATGACTTATTTTTTATTTTATTTAGTGTTGACAATTAAGGACCTATTTAATTTTATTTTATTTTGAAAATTAACGATGAATTTTATTTTTTTTTCATGTTGAAAATTGCAATTGAATTTTATTTTTTTTTCACCTTGAAAATTGAAGATGAATTTTATTTTTTTCATGTTGAAAATTGCAATTGAATTTTATTTTTTTTTCACCTTAAAAATTGAAGACGAATTTTATTTTTTTAATGTTGAAAATTGAACATGAAATTTTCATCTTTTCATGCTAAAAATTAAAGATCAATCTAATATTATTTTATACTAAAAATTGAAGGTAAAATTATTTTTTTTCGTGTTGAAAATTGCAGTTGAATTTTATTTTTTTCACCTTGAAAATTGAAGATGAATTTTATTTTTTTGATGTTGAAAATTAAAGATGAAATTTTCATCCTTTCATGCTAAAAATTAAAGATGAATCTCATATTATTTCATACTAAAAATTGAAGGTGAAATAATTTTTTCTTCACGTTGAAAATGAAAGATGAATGTAATTTTATTTAACATTGAAAGTTGAAGATGAATTTTATTTTTTTAATGTTGAAAATTGAAGATGAAATTTTTATCTTTTCATGCTAAAAATTAGAGATGAATCTAATATTATTTTATACTAAAAATTGAAGGTGAAATAATTTTTTCTTCACGTTTAAAATGAAAGATGAATGTAATTTTATTTAACATTGAAAATTGAAAATTTTCAAATTTAAAGCAGAATGAATTGTGTTTAATTAGTTTTGTAAATATCTGTTAGTTCTGTCAATAATATTTCCTAAAAATTAATAATGATACCACAAATTATTCTACCAAAATAATTGTCAATCTTCCTAAAAATTTAAAAAGTAATAAACAATTCAAACAGTCAGCCTTTAAATAATAATCAACGGTTACCCTTCAAATAATAACCAATTTAAACAGTAAAAAAATATTTTATTTACAATAAAAAATACTGTCTAAACAACATAATGTACATAAAACATTAAAAATAAAAATCACCTAGCAAAATGATACAAAGAGCGAGTACGAACAAAATGAATAAAAATAATGTATAATCGATACAAAGGGGATGAGTCGTCTGTTCTTGAAGATCTACTTCTAAAATGAAGTAGACGTTTAATTTTCTTCTTCACCCTCGCCAGCGTCTGTCGAGTCCATGCCAACTTCTTCGTAATCTTTTTCCAATGCGGCCAAATCTTCTCTGGCTTCGTTGAATTCACTCTCGTCCATGCTTTCACCGACGTACCTTAAGAAAAATAAGTACAATTTTTCTTTTTGACCTTAATACGGTTCTATTGAATTTGTGGGTTATTCTGGGAACATTGCTGTAATGTTATTTTAAGAATTTATTGTAGTATTTGTTGTAATAGTTATTTTGTTATTTATTGTGAAAATTATTCTGATAATTATGCTAATAGTTAAGCTGTTATTTATTGTAAAAATTATTGTAATGGTTATGCTAATAGTTATTCGATTATTTATTGCAATAATTATTGTAATGGTTATGCTAATAGTTATTCTATTATTTATTGCAATAATTATTGTAATGGTTATGCTAATAGTTATTCGATTATTTATTGTCAAAATTATTCTGATATTTATGCTAATAGTTATTGTAATAATTATTCTGATATTTCACATATTTTCATATATTTCATGTGTTCGTATATTTATTCTGTTAGTTACTCTAATAACTACCCTAATTACTATTCCAATAATTATTCTAATGACTATCCTAATAATTATCACAATAATTATTCTAATAACTACCCTAATAATTATCCCAATAATTATTCTAATAACTGTACTAATATTTATTCTACTAAAAATTCCAAAAATTATTCTAACAGTTATTTTAACAATATACTAAATGTATTAGTTCATTTATTCTGATAGGGACGTTTCTAAAGAGGGTAGTTTCCAAAAGCGTAATTGCATGAATTAATTAAAAAAAAAATTTGTAAAAATTCTAAGTATTCTTTCAACAAATATTATAAATTAATATTACATTGATATCTAAATAAATGAAAATTAAGTGAATGAAATCTATCAGTTAATTCAATAAGATTAATTCCTGAAAAATGTTGACAGTCAATATTAAATATTAATAGAAGTAAATAGAAGTACTTTTTTATTAGGTTCATGATTAGTAATGAAGAGTAAATTTACCAGTGAACAAATGCTCGTTTTCCAAACATTAAATCGAACTTTCTGTTTAACCTTGTCCACGCTTCTGCGATTGCAGTTGTGTTTGCGAGCATCGCCATCGCTCTTTGTACTTTGGCTAGATCACCTCCGGGTACCACAGTTGGTGGCTGGTAATTAATTCCCACCTGAATGGTAATTGTAATTAATTAGCTTGTTCAATCCATTGGAAATAATATTTAAAATATCTATATTTTATATCTTCATAACTCTACGTCACTATATCCTTATATTTTCATCTCCCAAAATTTCTATCTTAACAAAATTACTCATCTGTCTACCTAAACCCTTACACAAAGAATTTTCATGTATTAGTTATATATTCTTTATCTCTCTCCATCTCTCTCATCCCCAGATTACAAAAAACGCCCCACAAAAATTTTACAAATCAATTTACACCAAAAACTTCACAAATCAACTGATACCAAAAATTTCACAAATTAACTTGTATCAAAAATTTCACAAATCAACTTCCACAAAAATTTCACAAACCTTGCACCAAAAATGAATCCAATCCCTCAACAAAGTTCCTCCCTCCAGAACAAATCTGCCCCTTTTACAATAACAAAAGCGGAAAAACTACCTTAAACCCAGTGGGACACCAGTCCACAAACTGTATCGCCCTCTTAGTCTTAATGGCCGCAATGGAAGCGTTCACATCCTTGGGCACCACGTCTCCCCTGTACAGCAAGCAGCACGCCATATACTTCCCCCGTTGTGGATTGCACTTAACCATCTGCATAGCCGGTTCGAAGCACGACGACGTGAGTTCCATCACCGTCAGCTGTTCATGATAAGCCTTCTCGATGGACACTATGGGCGCATAAGTGGCCAAAGGAAAATGTATCCTGGGATATGGTACCAGGTTCGTCTGGAACTCCGTGAGATCCACGTTCAGAGCTCCGTCGAACCTCAACGAAGCCGTGATCGACGACACTATTTGTCCTATTAGTCTGTTCAGGTTCGTGTAGGTGGGTCGTTCGATGTCCAGGTTTCGTCTGCAGATGTCGTAGATGGCCTCGTTGTCGACAAGAAAAGCGCAGTCCGAGTGTTCCAAGGTCGTGTGGGTTGTTAGGATCGCGTTGTAGGGCTCCACGACGGCGGTGGAGATTTGTGGAGAAGGGTAGATCGCGAATTCGAGCTTGGCCTTCTTTCCGTAGTCCATGGAGAGGCGTTCCATTAGGAGGCTGGTGAAGCCTGAACCGGTGCCTCCACCGAACGCGTGGAAGATCAGGAAACCTTGCAGACCGCAACACATGTCCGCGATCTTGCGTATCCTGTCGAGCACCAGGTCTATGATCTCCTTTCCTAGGGTGTAGTGACCTCGGGCGTAGTTGTTGGCTGCGTCCTCTTTGCCGGAGATCAACTGCTCGGGGTGGAATAGTTGGTGGTAGGTTCCTGTTCGGACCTCGTCTGGGATAAGGGATGGAAGATGGATTTTATGGATTTTGGGTGTAATTTGCGGTTTGAAAATTTGAAGATTTTTGATTTTTGTATGCTTTAGAAGGTTTTTGGTATTTGTGTAATTTTAGAACTTGTAACTTCAGAATTTGTAATTCACAACTAGCAAAATTTACTATTATGTTATTGTCATTTTATGTGAAGAAAAGAATGATTGAAGATTGTATAAAATAATGGTTATTAAAGTATGACCTATGACTGTGGGTTCGAGGTCCAGGAACACAGCTCGAGGTACATATTTTCCACCGCCGGTTTCGCTGAAGAATGTTTGAAAACCGTCATCGTTTGAGCAACTTGTGGGTGGTAGCATTCCATCCGGTTGAATGCCATGTTCTAAACAGTATAACTCCCAGCAAGCGTTGCCCATTTGGACACCTCCTTGCCCGATGTGAACCGACAGTACCTCACGCTAATAATAATATTCGAGTTATCACACTTTTTTTATTAATTTGAACTTTAACTTTGATTGATAACTTATCAATAACACCAACTGTGATGCGTGATGTATATTGTGTGACAATTTGAAAAAAATTAATTTGTGATTATTTATGTGAAAGATGAATTAATTTGAATTTATAGATTGTATAAATTTAATTACCATTTTGGCGAATTCTTAAGGTCTTAATGAGAAGGGTTGAGGTGAAGTATGTTAACGGGACAATCATCCAAATTCAACTGAATAAACACTTTCTGTTAACGAATTTTTGTTTTCGTTGCTGGGAGACAGCAATTGCGATAATCTATTCGGTGGTGTAATTGAAAATCATAAAATCACACGGTCAAAACTAATTTAAAAAATTACTTAAAATAGCACTATACATTTAAGATTATTTCTACCAATTACACATGAACAAATTATGACAGTAAATATCAATAAATAAAAATTCAGTGTTCCGTATATTAAATGATAAATTTTATTTTACAAAATTTTTGCGACATACAAATTTTAAAATTGTAAAATTATAATTTAAATGTAATGACAATAAATAAAATGGTTATTAATTCCATTAATTTAAATATATTAAGTACTTGTTAATTTTAATATTAATTTAATATTGTAATATTAGTAAAATTAATTCAGTAATTTTTAAATATTGCTATAGGCTTGGTTTTTTGTATTGCAGTAACATTACAGTAAAATTGAAAAAAGAATGTAATACGTTAGATTGTTAAAAATGTTATATCTGATAAGGGGTAGTCACCCCTGTTCGAATGACATTTTTTAAAGATATACACAGGGACGAGGTGGCCGAGAGGTTAAGGCGTTGGACTGCTAATCCAATGTGCTCTGCACGCGTGGGTTCGAATCCCATCCTCGTCGGGTGAGAAACATTTTTGCTTTTACAATTCACATTTTTATTATTTTACAAACTTCTATGTAATTATATTAACATGTAATCGATTATTAACTACATTGCTAGAAAGAAAAAAATATAACATGTTAAGATTCTTATTAGCAAATATTAAATCAATACCATGCGATTATATTCAACCATGAACACACTTATTAAATTGACATTTAATAGCATAACAAAGAGATGAAACAAAACATAATTCTTTTGAATAAAGAAGAGGTCCTTTATGCTAGAATAAAGTTTATTGTACAAATATAAATGTCCAAGTTAATTCAATAAAAATTGTAACTTAGCATATATTAAACTTTCGAGTTTAACAACATTGCAATATATATTACACAGTATATGATTTATACATGTTATACATTAAAAATTCAAATGCATAGTAGAAAATAGATCTATCGTGTTAATACATCGGCTAAGGCACCACTTTGATTCCAGGTATATTGCAGCTATGTAGTTATTGGCAGTAATTAAAGTCATGTTAAAAATTAGTTTAAAAATAATTTTTCCGTTAATTATCTTTTGATCCATCAACGCATACGAGATATTTTCTTACTCTTGTCGTTTTCGATTGGGGGTGGAGGTCCTTTGGCATTTTGGTGTCGATTGTATACACTGAAGAATTATGCAGCAATTATAGTAGATATCTTCTTTAACGTATATGACAAGAAGATTTATAATACTTACTATCTATACGTTTCAGAACGAATATAATCTATTACGTGAGATATTCCAACTTGCAATTGGTCACCAATTGGTGTTACCCATGGATTAAATTCCATTCTAAATACTGCTTTATTACTTACTAAATCCAAATTTCCTGAAATTAATAACAGTTTAAGCAATATTCAGCTGAAATAATTTTCTGAAATTCTTTAAGCAAAATTTGTTCCTTTCAAGAATCGCCATGTACCTATTTCTGGTGGTAAAACAGTTAATCGATTTCCCTGTATGTGCAACTCTCTCAATCGCGATAATTCTCCAATTTCTTTTGGCAATTCAATTAAATCATTCTCCCTCAACACAAGCTAGAATACAAAAAAATATCAAGCATTGTAAATAGCTTATTAATAGCTTATATTAAGCTTTGCTTTTATAATTACAATTTGCAGATTTTTCAATTGCCCAATCTCAGGAGGTAGATATTCAAAATCATTATCAGCCAAATAGAGAGCTCTCAGTGTTTCTGCAAAGAAAAATGTTTCATTTCACAGTAGCAGAATTTAGTTTAAAACTCTCAATTTTATACCAACCCATCATGAAAAAGTTTCCTGGTAAATTCTTCTCACTGAGATTATTATACGTCAAGTCCAAAACCTCTAGTACAGGAAAAGCACCAAATCCACGTGGAAGAACATCCAATCTATTCATCCTGGAAAGTGTACATATTTTAAGCAACTGTTAGAAGGTATATCGTTTAAAAATTTTCTAGTATTTCAAGCGTACTTACCCCACATTGAGAATACGTAGTTTTGGCATCTGAGATAAGGAGATCGGAAGCTCAGTGATATGATTGTTAAATAAATTCAATATTTCTAGATTGACTAGGTTTGCTAGGCCTGGCGGTACAGCTGAAACAACAAAACATAAGTTATTCGTAGACTGCATTTGTATAGATATAGAAGATTGAAGTCTACAGAATATACTTGTTTACAATGTATAGAAATTTGTAGTTTATCAATTACATAATTTATGTATAATTTACAGATTTTGATCTTACAAATATTCTGCAATTTATTTATCACTGATTGGCCAGAAGATAAGTGTCAGTGATACGGATAACGTACCTTGAAGTTTATTATGACTCAAAGTTAGCCTGGTGATATTGATCATATTCACTGAAATAAAATGAAAATTATTATTGTATTTTGGGAGTCTTTTAAAAGAGTATATCAGTATGGTAAAGGGATAGTTATTTAATTAACAGTGCTATTGTCAATAAAATGAAATATGAAATAAGTAAGATGGTTGTCGAAAATTTAATTTTATTAGAAAGTTTTCATTTAATGCTTCTACAAAGTGAAATCTTGCTTTTTAAAAAGCAATTGTTTATTAATATTTGTGTCATGTTATTGTTATCATTTTAAATAAATGCCGCGCGCATGCGTGAACACGCCCACCTCGTGGGCTCGTGACAAATGGCGCGGCTGCATTTCCAACCGCTCCAAAAAACCAGTCAGGAACAAGTTGCCTAATTTGGCGAACGGAACGGGGCCCACGAGGATATGGAAGACTCACGTAATCCAGGCATCTCCTCGAACGTCGATATTCCCTTGTCCGCGAGATCCAGCTCAGGATTCTAGATTATTATACGTCAAGTCCAAAACCTCTAGTACAGGAAAAGCACCAAATCCACGTGGAAGAACATCCAATCTATTCATCCTGGAAAGTGTACATATTTTAAGCAACTGTTAGAAGGTATATCGTTTAAAAATTTTCTAGTATTTCAAGCGTACTTACCCCACATTGAGAATACGTAGTTTTGGCATCTGAGATAAGGAGATCGGAAGCTCAGTGATATGATTGTTAAATAAATTCAATATTTCTAGATTGACTAGGTTTGCTAGGCCTGGCGGTACAGCTGAAACAACAAAACATAAGTTATTCGTAGACTGCATTTGTATAGATATAGAAGATTGAAGTCTACAGAATATACTTGTTTACAATGTATAGAAATTTGTAGTTTATCAATTACATAATTTATGTATAATTTACAGATTTTGATCTTACAAATATTCTGCAATTTATTTATCACTGATTGGCCAGAAGATAAGTGTCAGTGATACGGATAACGTACCTTGAAGTTTATTATGACTCAAAGTTAGCCTGGTGATATTGATCATATTCACTGAAATAAAATGAAAATTATTATTGTATTTTGGGAGTCTTTTAAAAGAGTATATCAGTATGGTAAAGGGATAGTTATTTAATTAACAGTGCTATTGTCAATAAAATGAAATATGAAATAAGTAAGATGGTTGTCGAAAATTTAATTTTATTAGAAAGTTTTCATTTAATGCTTCTACAAAGTGAAATCTTGCTTTTTAAAAAGCAATTGTTTATTAATATTTGTGTCATGTTATTGTTATCATTTTAAATAAATGCCGCGCGCATGCGTGAACACGCCCACCTCGTGGGCTCGTGACAAATGGCGCGGCTGCATTTCCAACCGCTCCAAAAAACCAGTCAGGAACAAGTTGCCTAATTTGGCGAACGGAACGGGGCCCACGAGGATATGGAAGACTCACGTAATCCAGGCATCTCCTCGAACGTCGATATTCCCTTGTCCGCGAGATCCAGCTCAGGATTCTGGATCTCGCGGGCTTCGTCCAGCACCTTCTTTGCTTTTGACATCTTCCCGGCTGGAATACACGACACTGGTGTCTGATTCATTGCGCGCGCAATTGTACATACGCGTCAGTGTGCTTTAAATAAACATGCGCCAATCTCTTCGTAACAGTCCAACTGATCGCGGACGAAGTACAGAATAGACTGATCATCTTATGCCGGTTTATCGCAACACTATCTGAAGTACCGACGGTGTTGAAAGCTTCGTTAGTAATTGCGCGCCCTATGCTTACGAATAATGATTCCAAGAAGTAGGCAAGATACAATGAATCACTTTCGTATGATAAAATCAAAGGGTAGATCACTCATGTTATCGTTCTTTTCGTCATATTATAGCTGTAATTGGTCTGTTCGTTCAAATCAAAATTGAGAACTTTATATTTTAGGAAAGAAGTAATTTTGACTGTTCTTTGGGAAACTGTTATGTTCAGCGTCATGTTAAATGTTGCAAGTTAGCTTCTTTTACAAAAGAATCGTTTTACTCAGATTGTTATGTCAATTTTTACGGTTATCAGTAAATAGTACATAATTTAGTGTGTGGAACTCGAAGTACCGTAAGGTGATAAGTCAACTCAGCAGTGCTAATGTCTTACTTTAGACTGAGTCGATAATGTTACATGTAACAAAAAAACATTTAAAGGATTTCTACTCATAAATCGATTATACTGCAAACAGTATACATAATAAAACATATAATAACAATATACAATAAATATAAAGCATATTAATCAATAAAATTAATAATAATTGGATTTAAAAAAAAAATGGAACTGGTGGCGCCATCTCTCCGACGAACAGGGTGAACTACACGCATCTGAGACACCCACTTCATTAGTTCCCGCTTTTCACCGTCAGATGGCGCCACTACGTCAATTTATGAAAATTTCTTTTCGGTATTTTATGATTGACATAATTGTCAACAATATATGTTACATTAATTTTGTTAATAACACTTCTAGAAGGTTTCAGTGCTAAATAATTCTACTTTCCGAAGTAATTTAATTTATATTATAGTTAATTAGGGCAATCATATGACATGTTAAATGAGCTGTTTAAAAAATATGACAATGATTATTAATCGTCAGTAAAGACGAGTTCTGTTATCAAAACAGTTGGTCAAGAAAAATTCTGTCTTTAAACTAGAACATGTATAAAAATTAAAAAATCTAGTATCATTATAAATAAAAAAGTAATATTTGTGAAGTGACTAATTAATTAATTAAATATAGACAGACAATTCTCATAAAAAAAAAAAGCGCCTGTAGCGCCATCTAGCGGTAGAATATAAGAACTAACGAAGTAGGTGTTCCAAATGGGTGTAGTTCACCCTGTTCGCCGGAGAGATGGCGCTGGGGGTATCATTTTCAAAAAGGGCGCGAAAAAGGATCGTTTCAAATACGTGTAAGAATATTATTCCTGAAATGCTTTCAATTTATTCACTTAATTGCTTTAAAATAAACAGTTCTGCAAAAATAGGTAATCTTTTGTTGCAAAATGGTTCAGTTTGTTTTTAAAACTGTGCATTTATACGTGGAAACTTGCGAATCCCAACATTATTATATTTTCAAATTCTACAAATTTCGTAAACTTATAAATCCAAAATCTTGAAGTTTCCAAACTTTTTCAATTCTCTAAGCATCTAAAGTTCTAGTGTACTATACTTCTATATTTTTAAGATTATTATTTATTATTTAAATATTTACAAGTTTCTAGAATTTCTTAATTTTAAAGTTCTTCATTTCCATATTCCTAGATCTTCAAATTTCTAGACTTAAAAATTTTTAGATATTCAAATTTGACAGATCTTCAAATCCCTAACATCCAAAATGTTCTGGTTCTCAAAATTAGTGGACTTCCATGTCCTTAAATTCCCAAATCTCTAGTCTCCCAAAATCACTATATCACAGATGTCTCTAGAATTTTTTATCTTTAGATTCAAGAAATCTCTTGATCTCCAAAATCAAATTTCTATATTTCAATATTCCAAGACTCTTAAACACCCTGAATGACACTGCCCCTTAATTTATAAAATCTTCAGATCTCCAGATTCCTGGTAATATCGCATGGTCCTCAAATATCTAATATCCCTAGATTTCCAGACATTCTCGATTACAATATTTTCCAATCCGTAGAAATCCTAGATTTCAATATCACTAAATCACTAGTTCATTGGATTTCATTATTGTTTGATCTCAAATCCCCAGATCCCATATTTCATTATCCCTAGATCTCCGACACCTTGAATTCCACTATACTGCAATCTAAAATGTCCCTAGATCCCAATATCCCTAGATCCCCAGATCACTGAACTTCAATATTGCTAGCACCCCAAATTCCTAAATTTCAGTATACCTAAATCCCTAAACTCCCCTAGATCGCAATATTCCTATGTCTAAAACATCCCTAGATTTCGAGAAACCCAAGTCCCGAAATTCCAAGGCCCCCAAATCCTTGACCCTCCCCTTGAAACCTTGAAATTCTGAAGAACTCTGAAACCTTGAATTCTGAAGAACCCTAAATGTGACCGTGCGATGGTCGTTTTACCTCCACCCTCATATTCTCCCTAGACAAGGAAGATTTGCCGCAGACTGTACCAGCAAGCCGGTGATGGGTCCACCTCGCGGTACACATATTTGGTAGCGCGAAAAGCTTTTTGCAGCGGATTTAACACGATCGGAGGCCGTCAGGTGGCCGCGAAAGCGGGCAAGCGCGGCGCGCAATCAATACGCTCGCAGAACGCGGCGGTGCCTCGTGCGCGTCAGCTCCGGCTGAGCTTTTCAGTCGGACGTACGGTCGCGTCGAAAGCTCACGAAGCTTTGCTCCGCTGGTTCTGTCCGTCGCGAGGCCACAGGGGTGGTGGACTTGTAGCAGGCGGTAAAATGGCGACCGCGATGCGAAACAAATGACTGATCGGTGGCGAACGATTCGCGTACGCAGCGATTACTATGCGGAGGCCGCGTTTCCGCGTGCGGTACACTAGCTGCACCGCCGTAAGAAGTTACTAGGACTCAAGGGGGGAAAGCGTCCCGAAAGAAAAACAGGTGCCCAAAATATGATCGAATCGACGAGAAAAGGCTACGCGCACGGATCGGGACCGCACGAGGACGCGTGAACGATCTCGAGCCGGGAATTCGATCGTCGATCATCGATTAAGAACACGCGATACGGACTGATGGTATTTGGAGGCGGCGTGCGGTGCTCGCTTCTTAGCTGAGTGACGATCGCTTCGGGAAGTCGCCGGCTTCGATGACCTGACGAAACTTTTACACGGCGGATCCAGTTACGCGATCATGCATTTGCACTTCGAGAAGAATAACAATGCCAAGTGCGACTGCAACATCCTGTCGCTTAGCTGGATGGGCAAGGTGCCGGACGAGTCGCCGGAGGTACGTGACTTTTTATTATGACGCCCGGATATATGACCGCGGGGTCCGCTTATATGGCCGCGAGCTGTTACGATCCCTGGAAATTATACACTCGGGAGAATGGGGAATTTTTTGAGTTTATGTCGCTGTGGCCTTGAGCGAGTTGGGGACTCGTATGGTTATAGCTATATCAAATTATTGTTGTACTGACTTTATAACTTGAAGTCGTAGTAACTTTATAAATAAACATAGTAACTTTATAACACATAGTATGATTTATACTACTTAATTTTGTGATGAACGAATTAAGTGGTTGAAGAGTTTCTTTTTGTATGTGGTATGTCATTTTAGATTAGGATTTTAAGTATTTGTGATTGATAATGACAGTGAAAATTGGCAGAATATGAATAGGAAATGTTATTGGTTAGTGCAATAAAATAAATGGAAGAAACGTGGGAATAGAAAGTGGGGTTAAAATTAGAATAATTTACAAAATTGCTTGATGTGAAAATTTGCTTTTAAAATTGATTTAAACATTGAAAGATTTTCAAAACTTATTTATTTTAAAACTCAATGATTTTTAAAATTTAATGGTTTTGGATGATTTTTGAAATTTAATGGTTTTGAATGATTATCAAATTTAATGATTCTGAATGACTATAATATTTAATGGTTTTTAAAACTGATTGATTCTAAAATTAATTTTAATCTAAAAATTGAATGATTTTGAAAATGAAAGAAAATAATAAATATTGTAAACAATAATAGAAAAATGGCAATACATAAATATTTTTGGTTGAGAAATATTTATAAAAAAATAGTAATAAACAAATCTTTGTTATTAAGAAATACTGATGCAAAAATAACAGCAGTGAAATATTTTTTAGTGAAAAATATTATTGTATACTGATTCGTATTTTTGACGGAAAATATTTATATATTATTATTAAACATTCTTGAGTATTAATAGATCGGTGATGATTTTAGAATTTTAATGAATTAATTGTTACTATCCGCACGTTTTGAAAGTGATTTGATAGAGTGGTTGTCACACAAATAAATGCTAGGTTAATAGGATATTTCAAGGAACCTTTATTTCAATGTTCAAAGAAAATTTATAAAAGCTGACTGAAGTGAATACTTATAAATCTTAATGAAGTTTAAATTAATTGTAATTATGAACTATTTTGGATGGGGATAATTAGGTCAGTTGTGTTCCAAATTTATAAAACGTATACAAACGTATGATAATAATAATAATATAATAATGTTAACATTAATCAAAATTGCGTAGATAAATTTCTAAACAAAGTACATTTATTTGTACATAATATCAACAAAAATACTAAATATTTTTTGTACATGTATAATAATATGTTAATTATAATCATATTTATTTGACTAATATCTTTAACACATTGCATTATAATACAAGTTATAATTCATATTATACATAATATTATATAATTAATACAAAATATTAATACTACATGTTTTATATTATTAAACATAATACTTGTATATTGATATTTTATTATATTACTCAATATAATATTTTTAAAAATTTGTAGAGGATTAAAGAAGTTTAAAATTGAATTTGTGGATCTCGAAATTTTGCGAATTAGATTAAGAAGCTTGTAAAACTTTTGCAAATTTTGTACTTTAAAATAAGAAACTTGCAAACCTTTTGTAAATTTTGCAATTAAAAAATAAGAAGCTTGTAAATCTCTTGCAAATTTTGCAAATTAAAAATAAGAAACTTGTAAACCTTTTGCTAATTTTGCATTTTAAAATAATAAACTTGTAGAGCTTTCGTAAATTCTGTAATTTAAAATAAGAAACTCGTAAAACTTTTGCAAATTTTGTACTTTAAAATAAGAAACTTGCAAACCTTTTGTAAATTTTGCAATTTAAAAATAAGATACTTGTAAACCTCTTGCAAATATTGCAATTTAAAAATAAGAAACTTGTAAACCTTCTCTAAATTTTGCAATTTAATATAATAAACTTGTAAACCTTTTGCTAATTTTGCATTTTAAAATAATAAACTTGTAGAGCTTTTGTAAATTCCATAATTTATAATAAGAAACTTGTAAACCTTTTGTAAGTTTTGCAATTTAGAATAAGAAGCTTGTAAACCTCTTGCAAATATTGCAATTTAAAAATAAGAAACTTGTAAACCCCTTGCAAATTTTGCAATTTAAAAATAAGAAACTTGTAAACCTTCTCTAAATTTTGCAATTTAATATAATAAACTTGTAAACCTTTTGCTAATTTTGCATTTTAAAATAATAAACTTGTAGAGCTTTCGTAAATTCTGTAATTTAAAATAAGAAACTCGTAAAACTTTTGCAAATTTTGTACTTTAAAATAAGAAACTTGCAAACCTTTTGTAAATTTTGCAATTTAAAAATAAGATACTTGTAAACCTCTTGCAAATATTGCAATTTAAAAATAAGAAACTTGTAAACCTTCTCTAAATTTTGCAATTTAAAAATAAGAAACTTGTAAGCCTTCTGTAAATTTTGTAATTTAAAAATTTTTTGCAATTTAAATTTTGCAATGTAAATTCTGTAATTTAAAATAGAAACTTGTAAACCCTTTGTAAATTTTGCAATTTAAAAATAAGAAACTTGTAGAGCTTTCGTAAATTCCGTAATTTAAAATAAGAAACTTGTAAACCTTCTGTAAATTTTGCAATGTAAATTCCGTAATTTAAAAGAACAAACTTGTGAATCTCCTATAAACCTGACTTATAACAAAAAACTCCTGAATCGATCATTTCGTTCGATTTGTTAGTCTTAGCGTTATTCAAGCAAACAGAAAACATCAGAAGTGTATCAAAAGCTCTTGTTACATCCGATGCAGCAGAAATGTAGTATCTAAGGTTTCGATCATACATTATAACCTCGAAAAGCGATACTATTCCGTTTATTCAGAGTTCGCGTCGCTGAAATAAGTGACGACAGCTACGAGATCCAAAAATTCGCGAGAAAATGGCCGAAATAGGCTTGATTTACTGCCAGTGTAAGCTTATCGCGTTGTTTGGGGATTATTGGTTCGATAGAGTAACATACACTCGTGTTCAAAAGTCACTCTGCATTTATTTTCTACTTATTTTATTTATATAAAATTTTATTCAAACGTATATTCATTTATTAATACATATAAATTCATTATAAGGGAAAGAGTTAAAACATTCTATTGTTTGAATATTTGGAGCTATTGAAAAATATTTTTGTTCAAATATTGTGAAGATTATAAAAATGTATTTGTACCAAAAATTTCCTTAAATAATTATGAACATACATTCCTACGCATTAAAGTAATATAATATGTACAATATATTGTTGAATTGTTACTGTTATGATAATATGGATAGTTTAAAATTTAGGCTGTTATTATAATATTTTAATATGAGTTTAGTAATTTGGGAATTTAGGAATGGGGTGATTTGAGAATTTGGGAGGGTGGAAAATTATAAATTTCAGAATGTGATAATTTGAAATTTGAGAGGGTGAAAAATTAAGAATTTGGGAATGTGATGATTTGAGAATTTGGGAGGGTGGAAAATTAGAAATTTAGAAATGTGATGATTTGAGAATTTTGAGCGGTTGGACAATTAAGAATTTGGGGATGTAATGATTTGAAATTTTGGAAAGGTGGAAAATTAGAAATATAGGGGTGTGATGATTTGAAAATTTGGGAGGGTGGAAAATTGGATATTTGGGGATGTGATGATTTGAAAATTTGGAAAAATGGAAAATTACAAATTTGAAAAGGGGAAATTTGGAAATTCATAAATTTAGAAATTAGAAAATTTGAGAATTTGGGTGTTCGAAAATTTGGATAAATTAAAAATGGGAAATTTGAAAATTTGAATGAATTGAAAACAGGAAATTTGGAATCTTAGAAATTTGAAAATTTGTTAAATTAAAAATGCTCAAATTCTCACATTTAAAAATTTGAAAAATTAGAAATTTACAAATTTAAAAATACACGCATTCAAAAGCACAAAAAACTCATTTAAATCAAATCATTTTTACCCCAAACACCAAACAAAGACATCACAAAAACTTTGCCTAAATAAAAACATGCACCATAAATCACAGCCTAAACAAAACAACAAAAGATGGTAGAAATTAATTCAATTACCCATGCAGTATTCCATTTATTACCAACTAAATGCCTCTATTAATATCTAAAAACAGAGTGTAAAAATAAACGAACAAAAAGTTGTTCAATGGAATAGGTACTGTTCTTTTAGCATCGAAAAAAAACATATTTGTTTCGCTATATTGTGCATTCTACGAATGTTCACTTTAATACTGTATACATTTTAACCACACAAAAAACCAACGAAATAAATCACTTTAACACATTTATCAAAACGTGTTGCTGTTTTCGGAACGCGTGGTCTGAATGAAAAGTCGTGCAAAAAAATGACAGTGAAACGTGTTAAACTTTTACGTGCATGAGATTTGAAGTTTGTACTGTATTCAGTTCTTTTGACACAACGTTGGTGATTATTAAATTTTTGGTAGAAGAGTCGTGTGATGAGATCTAAAAGATTTTGGGTAGAATGTATTTAAAATTGGACGAACATTGAGTTTGAGTATTTGAATGCTTAGGAATCTGAGAATTAACAAAATTTGGGAGTTCAGCCATTTTGTAATTAATGATAAAATAACATTTATTATAAAATGGCGGAATGAGGAACATTGCATGTAGTGTGAAATAGTATAATGTGTATGGATATAAGATAAAATTGTGTCATTTTTTTATTTAATATTTCTATTCAATATTAATGTATAATATTTAGTGGTATATTGTAATTATGTGTATGTTGTTTAATATTTATGAAATTTGGAGTGATATTAACTAATATTATATTATATATCAATTGTATAGTAAATAACCTTATATTAAATTCTTAATTTTCTGCCCTCCCAAATTCTTAAATCATCACAATACTAAATTTATAATTTTCCACCCTCCCAAATTCTCAAATCATCACGATA